TGGGATGCCGTTGCGGATCATGGAAACATGTGCATGACGCCTGTGCAAAACATTGGCAGCGTTGCAGGTGAGGATTTCGGATTTTTTCAAGCAGCGCACGGCACACGCAGATTTTTAGGGACACGAGCTAGTTGCTTCTCGAAGAAGTTTAACGAAAAGCTTAGAACCTGACATTCGAAGATCACCAACACATTCATGAAAACAACTACATGGAATGCGAAACGCACTGCAAAAAAACTCACGCAAGAAGACATACTTTTGCATGGTTCGACTTAAGACGCAAGTCCGACACAAACACACAAAACCTTAAGCAGCTACCATGATCATACAATGCAGTCGAGTCATGTCACATCACGTCATCATGCAAAGTACGGGGCCGTGGCGTGGTGTTGGGACTGTTGGACGAGGCGTGCAGACCCGAACAAAGGGGAGCAGAGCAGAATGTCGGAATGCTTTTGTGTGGTTGCTTTTCTATCATTTTGGTGTTTTTTTGTGGTTTTGTTTTTTTTTGCACCGTTATGGATGTTTGTGCTATCTTTTCTGTGGTTTGGAGGTCTGCGACAGAGTCTTGCGTCCGGAGCACACACCAGGCATCAGATGAGAAAACCAGCCCTGCACGATTCTGCACGACATTGCACGCTGTTTGCACGACGCTTGCACGACTTGCACGACACTGCACGACACTTGAACAATGCTGCACGATGCTTGATCTCCATGATTGCACTTTGCACTCTTGCATCCTTGCATCTTGCCCGCCCTTGCATCTTCCAGCATTGTGGCCAGTGCCAAGGTGTGACTCTAAGCCTTATCACACCAGGACATACCAGTAAATCACCTACTCGGATACTGGGGTCACTAGGTCATCAGGTCACGGGGACTTGGGATTATAGAGTCTACAGTCTAGAGTCTAGAGTTTATAGCAAGTCTATAGTCTGTAGTAGTATATAGTCGATGGGTCTATGTCTATGTGTCCAGGGGGCCTATACGATACAAATAGGGCAGGGCCAACACGCCCACAAAAAGCCCTAGTAACTAGTATAGTACAGGATGATATATTGACTACATGACTATATTATATTTGGCTTCTATCGACTCTAATTGGTATACTATACTGTACTAGACCACTATACCGGTTCCGTCCGAGATGCAAGTTGAGCACAGCTTCGCGGTGAGCTGTGTACCGGTCCGGAACTTCCCCGATAAAGATGACAAGTCTCTCTTTGATCACCTCATACACGATGTTCCTCAACGCGCGCCGAGCTCCTCCCCCTCGCTGCGACAAAGCAACATGTAACAAACCTGACACGTGCAGCTCGGCATGCGAGAACTGTTTCGTTTGGGTCTGTGAAGCTTTGTGGACTCTGCAATAAAAGTGGGTGGATGCTCCGTTCGGGGTCGCAGTGTTGAGCTCACGCTCTGCGCGGATGTTCGCCGATGCTCTGTCTGTGACAGGAATGTTGAACACCACATCTGCTTTCTGGCTCAAACGATGCAATGATGGAATAATCGACTCTGCTTCAGATTGAACTCTCACGATGTTTTCTGCCGAGGCAGAATCAACACAAGCCATCATAGAAGGAAGTGTCATCTTCATCAAGCATGAATCACCAGTAGCAGCATTGTACAAGAGCATTCCACAGCATAACTCGGTCTGAAAAAGCTTCGCCACTTCAGCTGTAGCCTCTGACTTACCAAGCTGCTCGAAGCGAAAAGGCTCCTCACGAACTGTGATACGTGTTGGTGTTTCGTCATAGCGGCGGCGCTTGATGATAGCAAGACACTTCCACGCCGAGTTTGGTTGGGAAGCAAACGAAGCACATCTCGCCAGCATTGCACCAGTCAAAAGCCCACTGAACTGCAGCGCACACGCTGCCACTCGCTTTTCATCTTTGGATACAGTCTGCCGGGAACCGTAGTCAAAGATGTGCTGCTGCGTGCCAAGATTCAGAATGGGCATACAGTCTATAAGTGAACTGGCAGGATAGGCTTGGTTTTGTGAGATGATGCTGCTGCTATCTGCCGATGGAAGCTCGGGCGCGGCTTTAGCACAGTACTTGGACAAGGTCTCCCAGAGCCTCACCTGAAAGAAACTGCCCACACTGGCGAAAGCATCTCGGAACCTTGCAGCCAAGTTCTCAACAACCGACTTGCCAGAACGTGAGGATTGTAACATGGCTGCTTGTGTCACATCTTCACGCGGTGCAGGAGGTGCCGGCGCCACAGTGGCCTTTCTCGGCCTGCCTCAAGCCCTTTTCGGTGCCGGTGGCCCCTGAGTCGGACGGAGCTCCTCCTGCACTAAAGAAGATGCGACTGCTCCCCAGCCAATGTCCTCATCAGCCATTAGGACTCATCCTGCGCATTCTTTCGAGCCTTCGATCCAGTCAGTCACAGCCGTTCTGAGCCATGGAAAAAGATTCCGACTCCACCATGGTCACCCATGGTCACCACAGAATGTGAAACTTGGAGCCCCGAAGGGCTTGAATCTTATGAATCTTGTGTCCTACGCCTTCTGCATATCTGACCGATGCAAGGGACCTAACTAACAGACAAGTTCCAGCCTGTGCAAAACTGCTGGACTCTGCCTTACTCTGCCGTTCTCGCGAAGTCTAAAATGTAGTCTAAAATCTAATCTATCTAACTAGCTAACATGATGCAATCCAAACATTGTGCATCAACATGGCTCCTCTGACTCTATTTGATTCTATCTGGAATGTCTCAAAGTCTTCGAGGGAGGCAAGTGCCTGTGCCACTAATAGCACCAACACTAAAGTCCACTAAATCCCACTTTGGAGTCTGGTCACGAGTCTGGTCTGGAATTAGCATTAGCTCGAATTTTGGGGAAGTCTGGGAGTCTAAAGACTTCTACAGAATCCTAGCAGGCCCTAGCGGCCCTTGCAGCAGTGACTAGTGAGGCTACTGGCTAGTGAGGCGAGCGAGTTAGTGGCCAGTCACTGGTGTCACTAGTGACACGAGTGACTAGTGACGAGTGACTAGCTGCTCAGTGCACGGTTAGCTGGTCAGCTATACTGGTATACGTTAGCCTTAGCTGCGGCTAGCGGCTAGGACTAGGACTAATGACTAGGAGCGGCTATGATGCTAAAGCGATGGGGACCATCTCTGGTGAATCTAGTGACTCTGGTGGTGACTCTTGGCTAACTAAAGTGACGATTGTAACTCATGAAGCACGGCCAGCCCATCCGAGCCAATGAACGATTCGGCGCAAGCCACCAGTCTTTGTCAGGTTATATATGGCCTGGAAAGCTTAGGGCTTAGGGCTGGCACTGGGTTTAAAGTCGGTCCTCTGGGCCTGGGGGTTTTGGGCTATGGCTTAGTCTTGGGCCTTTCAGGCTGTACGGTGGCAATAAAGGTCAGTAAAGGTTTAGTGATTTAGCATGTGTTTTGAGTTTGGGCTGGGGTTTGCTTTAAAGCAGTTTCAAAATCGAGGTCGTCGGTCAAGCTTGGTTCTGCCGAAGCACAAAAGACTGTGGAACACCCAAACCAAACCAATCCACCTCCCAACAACCGCAACCGATCTTCAAAATGCGTCCACCACCTCAACCTAAAACCAGCGGCCTGGAGACTACTGTTTAAAGTCTAAAGTCTGGAAAGTCAGTGGCAACGTGTGCTCCGAAATGAAGAACCCAGAATATTTAAATCTTGAGTCTAGAGTCTAGAGTCTAGAATGAATCTAGAATCTAGAACACACGAGCAACTACCAAGGACCTCGGGACCAAGTGCGAAATGCCTAGGCGCAGGGCCTAGGGCCTAGGGCTCAGGACCGCTGAGTAACTCGAGAATCCCACATTGGCCAACCCCCGAACAAATGAACGAAGGAATCCTACCCTGACACAAGTGAGCTGAGCACATGTCCTGGGGCGTGAAATGTTCACGAAGTCCGACATGTCCATCTCAAAGACAGCCGTGTGGTAGCCCTTGTTGGGCTCGAACTCGGTCTCTTGCAGCACCTTGAGGTACCTGCGAAAAAATTGCACATCACAAGCTGGGGATGAAGCAGGTAGGGCCAGGTAGGGGCTGCGGAGGCTAAAGTTGGGTAGGGCATTGACTGAATCACTTCAGAAAATTATGAGGTTTCGGTCTACAGTCTCTACATACACTCGATTCATAATGGTAGCTGGTACTGCCGCTAGCTGCTAGCTGGCTGGCTGCACTGTGAGTTAGTTGTTAATTTCAGCATGTGAAATGTCGGTTGATTCAACAAAATCTACGACTCTATGACTCTATGACACTAGGTCACTAGGTCACTAGGACACTACGACTACGATCTGTGTCAAGGTTCCAAGCTCACATCCTTTTAGACACTGGGACACCTGGGATCTGTGCAGCTAGCTCAAGTCGGTCGAGCTGGATCCAAGCACGAGCTAGTAGCAGCTAGTAGAGTTAGCAGAGTAAAGTTAGTCAGCAGCTAGTATAGTAAGTATAGTATAGACTCGAGGGCAAATCTTGAGTAGAGTAGTGGCCTCGCGAGTCTGAGAAGCAGGCTTCGGCTTCAGCAGTTCGCAGGCCCAAGTCACGCAAACGAACATGGAAGCCGTGTCTGCAAGTGCTTATGATTTCAGGAATGGCAACAATGTGATCCCAAGACTCTCAAGATTGACTGGTGCTGTTATTGAAATGAACATGTGGAGGCCTAGGCCGAGGGCTTCAGTGTGTAGCAAAAGAGTATACCCAGTAGACAGCGGGCAACCTACACGTATCCAAGGGTACGGCTACACGGATCTGGCTATGGCTACAGACTACCTTGATCACTCATTGCGGCTACCGGCTACCGGAGCGACTACCGTGATTACCGGACTACCTGACTACCACGACCACAACAAGACTACCAGACTACCACGACCATCAGACTGACCAGGACTTCCAACCTACCAGACAACCAAGCATCCCAGACAACCAAGCATCAGCATAATGTGAGACCACACTGCACCTCATTACAAGCCGCTACACTGTCACGTCACTAGTCATTGCACTCACTACAGTCACTACACCACTTCAGCAAAACCCGGCCTCTGCAGAGAAGTGCAGCTGGAGTCTTTGCACTCGGGTTCATCGAACCCACACACTTGCTCAAGTATCACTGATACAGGCGCATGCTTCTGAAGCCGCTCGACTGAGTCACAAAACATAACCTGGTGGTGAGGGTGCTCCTGCACACTTCCATTCACTCGGCGCTTCTGTCGCATCACTGAATACGGAGGGCAGGGACACCCCAAGACCGCCAGAGAATGCCCTCGACCTACCTTGCAACCACAGGAGTCAGGATGCATCTCACACGGGGTCTCTGCTGTCTGGTCGGAAAGGGTCAGATGCATATGCTCAATGCAGCCCCCATGGTTGGAAGCCTGGAACTCCCGGTACTTTGCCTCCGGCTCACTCGTCCCGACACAGGTGAAGGGGATCCCAAGAGCCTGGCGCGCAGGTGAAGTTTGGAGGCACAGCACGGTTGAGTCAGGTTGGGTCGGGAGTGAGGCCTGGGCATGTGGTGTGGGGTCTCAGCTCTGGTGGGAGCTTCAACTCTGACTGCATCTATTCAACTATTCATATTCAATCGCTTGGGAGCCCTTGTGCTGCAGTCTGGAACTTGGGTGCTTCAAGACTTTGGGCGAGGCACCCTCATGACCTAATAACATGGCCAAGTGGCTCTGGCCTTAGTCGCCTTAGTCATGGTCCCAAGAAGACTGCCTAAACATTGATGATCGAGGAACTCGATTTTGGAGCAACCGATGGCCCCACACCCTAGATGTTTGGACCCGTGATCTGAAGCAGCACCCTTCAAGATTCATGCCTCGAACTGCCTGCTGACGATGACTGTGAGACTTACATAGACTTACATCAAACAACCAAAACGACACCGTGATGTTCCTGCTTTCTTCCTAACACTAACAATGCTTGGAGTGGCGCTATGGCTGCGGTGGCTGGATACCATCAAAGTCATGAAAGCAATATCAATACCAAGTAAGAGAGTCTAACAGTCTAACAGAGGCACGCAAACAAGCTCGGTCAGGCCTTCATGACCATGATGTCTGCACCCGATGCCGTGCAGCCAGATAACAAATCGCGGGGAGTTTTAGGCGGCGGGGGTCGCGGGTTGCCACTCAGGTGCCGTTTAACTTTGTTAACCCACCAAAGACTTGGGTCTGGCAGGCTGTCACTCGCATCCGTTTCGGAACGGCATGCTTCGGTCTCCTTACACAGACTTACCTCTAAGTCTTGGGAAGCCATGAGCTCATTCACTATCTCCCCCCATCCACTCGGAGCGTCCTCATCAACCATGGTAGCCATGGCTTTCAAGCACGGACGATAAAAAACACGGTTTTGATGGCCCTTATGCCTTATGTGACTCTTACCCTTCGCTGGCACCTGAGACCTGGAGCTTGGCTGGCTTAGCCACAGCCACAACCTATTTGCAATGTGCTGCTGCAGGTGGCTTTATTGACAACTCCAAATGAATGGCTCCCAAAACAAAACTTTAATCCAGAAAAATTGCGAAAATTGGATAGCAACATCCATACCTACCCAGGTCTACTACAACTACAACTGCAACAACATACCTGGCCAACTTGGACCTAATTGCTCTACTTGCACTGCACACCGTTCCCAGTGATCTGTGGCAGACACCGAGCAGCTGGAGTTAGGCACACCGATTCAGTTTCTTAGTTACTAGTCACTATACACTTCACTACTATAAAAAAATACTACACTTTACTGTACTGTACTACAATCACGAAAATCGAATCATTTCACACCAGTCACAACACATACTGACATCTTACAATTGAATACACTTAATACACATACATACACTTATACATATAACTTTGGCGCACGAGCACCTTGAGACTGGAGCTCGGGTCTCTGCAATTGGCCAAAACCCTACTGACACTTCCGAAGACACCCGTTGCCATGGTATGGGTTTTACCATATCACACACTTTTCTAAAAAATCCAAAGTTTTGTAAAAATGCTTCTTCATATTTAGAACTTGAACGCGTAACCGGCAGAGCATAGCCACATATACCGTAAGAACTACAAGAATACAAGATCTTAAAGAAAGCTGTTGTCCAGCATAAGCAGCCAAAAACATGCAACCCTTCCAACCAGCCAACGATGCCGCACTCGGGCAGGTCCAGCCACCCAAAATAAGTTTTCTCAAGCATTCCAGCAACAGAGGCGCCTTGCAAAAACAAAACAGTTCGCTCTCAGCATAACATGTACTTGACGCGGCTTCCCAATTGTTATCTTTCGTTTGCAGCTTTTGAGTCTTGCACAAAGCAATAACGCCGTGCAGTGGAATTTGCCATCTGGCAATGAGGTCTGCCATTTTAGGCGGTGTCTGCAACAATCGCTATTGCCGCACAGCTGCCAAAGTTAAACCGAATCTTTATTACAGCTGCAAACCAATTCCAATTCAATGGTATTACAGTGCCATCATGCTGGACAGCTATGTTTTTTCTTGCAATCCGGCCCACCTTTGTCCGTCTCGTTCCTCCAAGCGGTGGAGTCGGCTGCCCGCGCTCCTCACTTTCCAGCTGCTCCAAATCTCAAGCCGGCCGAGTTTGTAGCGCTCAAGAAGCGCATCCTTGCTCTTCATCCAGTGGCTAAACGCAGCAATTCTAGGGAGGAGTTGCACATCTTGGCCGCCCTAATGGGACAAACATTTTGCCGCCACATCGACGAGTTACTCAACAGTCCGGATGGACTCCTGTATGGACACATATCGGCCATGGTGGCCGCCCGCACAAGGACGCAGCTCGCTTAGCATCTTGGAGTGCGCGGGATCTTCCAAAACTTTCTCCCTGTGGTGCGCCTTGGTCTGCATGGATGCTGTGTTGGAGCAAACTGTGTTTTGGACAGCACAGCAGCATTCAGCGCTCATCGCGGTCGTGCGTATCGCGTCCAACCTCTTAGCCGATGCCCCAGATTGGCTGCGCCCGCTCGTTGTTGTGCGGAGGGTCTCTGGCGATGCGGAAATGATCGACCCATCCTTTGACCATGTACTCTTCACTGAGGCTGCTGAGCACCAGGCGGCTGGGCTTGGGGACATTGCCACGGCTCAGCCGGAAGTAACGGGGCGCAGTCCGCGTCTTGCCTCCCTTCAGTCAGCAGTGCTCACATGCTGCTGCTCACGCAGGGGTCGGCCTGCAGCTGCAATATGCCTCCTACAGTGAGGTTAAAACTTTCCTCAACAACGCGCATGTCATCGTCATGAGAAACAACAGAAGGGACAGCCTGCATCGGCTGCCATCCTTGCTAATGCAGCTGGCCAGCTTGTCATCCGCACGGGCGACCCCAACCTGCTGGAGGCGGCAAAGGTGAGGTTCAACTGCGCACGTTGGCGCGACTCATCGCCAAGCCCGTTGGCATCCGTGGAGTCGCCCAGCTGGCCTCGCAGTGTCTTCGGGGCGCCTTGTCGTGGCACTTCGAGACTGGGTGCAGTCTACCCCGCAGGGAACCACTGCACACAGTCAGGTGGACTTGCCTGGGACATCGCCACAATGGCCATCATTCGCCGTCTGCCGAGAGTTGTCGGAATGCCTCTTTGGACTTGACGAATTGAGGTAGTCTTGACTTGGATCTTCCGGAGCTCCGCGGATGTCGGGTAACCCGACAAGAGCTAAAACAGACGATCGACTGTATCCACACCCCGGCCGCCTCACGCCAGCAGCTATTGCGGTGGATTTCCTCCACCAGTCAGCGTCCCATAGTGAAGCGATTCTGTGTTACCTCAACCGTCTGTCGGCCGTCGGAGCAATACTTGCACCGGCCAATACAGCTCTGCTGAGAGCCTCGCCCCTATTATGGAGTTTGCTTGAACCTGGCCCTAGTTGCCTCCACCAGGTTGCTGGCCAATCTTTATCTGCTCATTACTCCGTTCGGTACCCATAATTCATTGTCGCACAGGGCTCTGACGTCTCCGTGTCTGGTTACCATCGGCGAACTGGCAGCGAGTACCACTGCACAGCGACTTCAACGTGTTGCAGCAGATGGCTCCTATCAGCCGGAAGTGTGGGTCAGCTAGCGCTCGGTGAGAAAGAACAGCAGCTGTTCTGGCAACACACCGCAGTGCAGCAGTGGTGTTCCCTGCGTCGCTTCAACACTTGTGCTGCCTCCTCCAGCAGTGCCGCTGGCTGGAACCAGCGCCCCACCGGCGATTTATCGGCAAGGGGTCTGGCTTGGCGGTGGTCTTGCTTGGGAGCCAAGGACATTTGCACCAGGCTGCTGTCTCGGACTGGGGACTCCCGTCCCGCCCGAGCACGGAGAAGCGATCCGTTGAGTCCTGCAAGCTCATGGAGCAGCCACCATGAAATCTCAAGGCGGGCAAGTTCATACCAGGAAAGGTCGTCAGCAGTCGTTGTTGGACAGAAATTGTTGCAGTGCCCCACACATTCTATTCCATCGACAGGCTGCTGTAGTCGGCTTCGAGCTTGGTAGCGCCGAAGGGTCATGCTTCTCATTCTGGTACACCGGGCAATTGAGGAACAAGTCCAATAAGGCCGCTACTTGGCTCCATGAAGCGTGGATGCAACCGGAGGGAGACAGCACAGCTTTGACTGCGCAGCTCTGGACGGACCTGCAGGGTAGAGGGCGCGTAGTCGGCTAGTAGCAACTGGCGACAGCAAGACGGTTTCAGAGCAAGAATGGTGTATCTGCGACTCCAAGCGCGTCCTATTGATCGTATCGGAGGCAATGGCATAAAGATAAAACGTTCTTCGGAACAGCGGTGACCATCGACTCCAATGTGCTCGCTTGGCTCCAGCACACAGTTGCTGTCATCGCAAGAGTCATGTCCTGATGAGAGACCTTGGTGAGTGGAGCGGAGTGCATTGTATAATGGTCATAAAAGAAGGCAAAGAGAGATGAAACCTACTCCTGCGTTGTGAGTTGCCCCGGAGGAGGAAGCTCTGGAAGCCATTCCGAATGAAATCCGCAAAGGAGGTGCTCTCAGACACGACTCTGTGCGCGAGGCCAAGACCTGCTTGAGAGAGTCAAAAACTCTAGTGGTTGGTGTGACGACTGCCTGGACAGCAAAACGATGCCTGCAGACATTGTAAGCGAGAACCAGAAAGACACAGAGCAATTCCACGAGGCCACTTTGGTGCATGGTCGAGGATGTCTGCTTTGGTAGTCGGATGAAGACGGCCGCTCCACTTCTGCAGCTCACCAACCCCTACCCGTGACGGCCAGCACATTCAGGTGCGAGGTTCCCGCTGTCTTGGTGGGCCAGTCGCCCAAGAGGAAACCAGGCGCAGTCACTACCAAATGGCGAACGCCCCTGGTTCAGATTGGGGCACCCTCGGGCGCAGGACCGCTGGAAGGATGCAGCGGAGGAGTTTCGCAGGGAAGGGGGCCTGGGGCCCGGCCTCCAATTTCCTTGCATCTCCACCGAGTTAATGCCACCTCCATTGCGAAGACCTTGACAACCATCAGTATTCATTTACTCGTCTGACGAAATCTACAAACTACAGTTGCTCTATCTTCTGAAGGAGAGTCAATTTCCTTCGAGCGGTCGTGACATGCAACGAATGCTCGACAGCTGGCCGCAGGATGCAGCGGCTGGCTCCTCCAGGTGACCTCTGCCCTTTGTCGACCGTGGGACTGACGACATACGATTCTCTTCCCAGCTGTACGCAAGGGCTGCATGACCCTGGCCGAGACCGGGCTCAACTGGGAAGGCTGGCGGAATTTGCCGCCTTGTCGAATAGACGCTGATAGTGCAGGCTCTGCGGCCAGAACACCTGGCAATGGTCTCGCTGTGTGACGGACCTCGTGCGGCACGTGCTTCATCTCTTGAGGAGTCTCCAGGTGATGCCGCGGCAACCGACGACATACGTCGTTGAGGTTCATTCTCTTTGCTGCTCTTGTTTTGGCACGACGACCGCCTGAGTCTTGCTTGGGACAGAGTGCACTTTCGCGATGGCTGCCTTTGGCCGTGCTTACCCTTGCAGTGGAGAGTGGAAGGGGGGGTGGCTGTGCTTTCCGGTTGTTGTGGCGCAATGTCGTCGTCTGGTGTGACGGACCCCCAAAAGCTGGTCGGGTCGTCTCTGACCGACAATGCTTTCTTGTTGGAGCCGCTGTAACCGACGACATACGTCGTTGAGGTTCTTCTCCCTTCTTGTTACTCCTGAGCGGAAGCTACAACCACTACGTGGGAACCTGGGCCCTGGGTGCACGCTCTACTTGGGCGACCCATTCTTGGGACTTTAAGGCATCTCTCCGCTTGCG